AACTGAAAACGTGACGTGGATCATAAATATATCAGCAATTAAACAACATCTTACATTTCTTTTCACACAATACGTCTCCTTGCAGTATCAATACTAATTCGGCTGACTTTTATATTTGATCCAATTGGTAGATAGGCTGTATTTACACCATAACGGTGCACAGCTGATAGAAAGGGACATCTACTGGTTAAAGCACGTTATTGAATTTTATTATTTTATTATTTTTCACAAAAATGAAACCATCAATAGCAGAAACAGAATTAACTGTCATTAGTAAACCACTCAAATAAAAAGATCATAAGTGGTTTTGTTTTACATATATTTTAAGGATAATAATAGCAATGTAACACTGTCTATGAGACTTACTGTATAACACTGATTTGAAAAACATACAGAACAAATGAATTCACTGCCCTTAATAAAGTATTTACATATACATTTCAGGTGTGCTGTTTTGTTTAGATCATTGACATCTGGAGCTCTTTTAATGTCCTTTTTGATTATTGTTACACCAGGTCTTGTCAAAACCTTTATTCCATATTCAATATCCATTACTAAACAAAACAGCAATTCTACTCCACTACAATTCAGAGGTTAACCTGGTATTTTTACTCCACTACATCTATTTTAGTTACTTTGCAGATTCTGATTAATGATGTGAAATATAAACAACCCTTAAATCAGGCTTTAGTTACACCTGAGTAAAATTCAGGGGAAGGTGATTGTCAAGTGCCAACAATCAGGAGAGATATTTGATAGTTGGTGCTTGAGAAGACTAAACATTTATCTGCAGATCCCTATAAAGCATATTCATTACTTGTTATTCTCTACTAATAGTTAATTAAAAACTGTATATAATGGCTATTTTGCATATCCCTTTCAAGATTTCAAGATTTTCTAAGGTTCATTGACATATCATATACACAACTAATTCAATAACGTGCTTTAACCACTAGGCGGTGCACACAAGGTACACACAGCCATAATAACTTTGTATTATTAGTGTAGGACACTTGTGTATGTATAACATCTGAAGATGTGTAGTTTTATTCATGTTTTCACATAATTGTACAGGATATTGCTATATTATTTCACATGTTTTACTTCTAATATCTGATTTGTAAAACATCATAGACAGAAAGGTATATCCATCATTTAACAGTAAGCTATTGAAATTGTGAATCCATAGATGTGTCTCCCATCACCCAAATCCCCTGACTATTCTCTCAACTCAGTATTTACATTCTTATATTCAAAGAAAATCAGTAATATCTTTAAAAACTACAAGTCCTTTTATATCAGCTGTGCACCGTTATGGTGTAAATATAACCTATCTACCAATTGGATCAAATATAAAAGTCAGCCGAATTAGTATTGATACTGCAAGGAGACGTATTGTGTGAAAAGAAATGTAAGATGTTGTTTAATTGCTGATATATTTATGATCCACGTCACGTTTTCAGTTTTGGCGGCAGTGCTTCCTGTTTGTCTAGAAATCTTCTCATCAGGGCTCTATAAATACAGAACTACGGCAGATATGTCATATTTAATGCAGCCGAACCGTGTATTACAATGCCGTTATGTGATGACTTTCAAAGAGAAAAGCAAGCACACTCGGAATAAAGTATTATTTTATTTTTTTTAAATGTTTTCGGATTTCACATTGCATAAACACCATTTCCCAACGTGCATTGCGGCTAAACCATTGAATCACCGAGCTGAGGACATTGCCTACGTCTGTTTCCGGTATTTTTTATGACGGATGTATTTTGTTATACACACATTCCTTCGCATTTAAATTTTAATTTACATTAAAGTATTTCGTGAGGCCTTCTAAAATGTTTTTAAATATAACTACGGTTCTAGTTGAAGAGTTTGTAAATTAACATGAACCGAAGCTGTTGCCTGGCAACGCAATCGCACAACATCACGTCCGTTATTCCACATCCACACACATGGATTAACATCGATTAAATACATTAATGTAGCCTTTGTTTCTGCTAAAAAAGGTGTCGACCAGCTGGGGCAACAAGAAAATCGGCGAAATCGAGTGTGACTATTACAAAATAAATCATTATTATATTAATATTGACAATAACAACCGACCGTCGGGGTAGCATTTGCTTGGCATTTCCGGGTATATCTCCACTGGTTGGGCCATGTTAACAATACTGTGTAACTGTCACGTTTGAAGGGATGAAATCGTGACATCTTCACGTCTCCCAGCATGGTAAATCGTCACATGTTCACGTCTTGCCGTGATACGTTGGAGTTGGACGGGAGAGGACGCTGGCGCTTGTTTGTTCGCCGCTTCTCCTACGCCTCAGGGTTTTTATCTGCTTTTAAGCTATTTTATCTGCTTTTAAGCTATTTTATCTGCTTTTAAGCTATAGTTATATGGCTAAACCTTGAGTCTGTTTAACAAGTGCTTTTATATCTTAAACCTCGTGATTATTGACGGTTTTGGACCTGACGGCTGTCGGGACTCACCTGCTGTATCGCCCAAATTCGCCGACTATCTCCGGCTGACTGCTTGCCTCTCTCCCGCTACTACTGTGATAGCAGGCGGACTCCCAATCCTCTGTTTCATTCCCAGACGTGAGGTCTACTAACGGGATAGCCTCCCGGCTGTCTCGTTGCTGTTAGCCCTCACTGCTAAGCACCACTACCAAACTTCTTCGGCGCCCGACCTGTTGACATGTTGAGGTTTTCTATTCCCCAACTCCTGAGTTTCAACCACTCCAACGCTCCAACCTGCACCTCAGTCATTAAACAACTTGGACTTCTTCGTCGGCCTCGCTATATCCACCGAAGCCAAAGAAGAAGACAAACTGTATATTCCCAGCACGGAGATGCAGAAATTCCATCCATCCACTCTGTCTGCCGTCGTGTCGCACATCTGATGCGTCATCAGAGCGTGGTCATGGCGGGGTCAAATCGTGCCAGAAACATCGCGAGACCGCTGCATGAATACACGGAGAGCATCGCGAGACCGCCACACACGAAGGAGTCTGGAAAACGTGGAGTGGATTACAGCCTACTCCGGCCCCTACAGAGATTCAGCACATCTTCCAAAGCCAAAATAGAACTTCTGAATACACAATCCCTAAGTAATAAAGCATCCTTCATTCATGACCACATCACTGATGAGAAAATGGACTTCATGTGCCTCACGGAAACCTGGCATCAGCCAGAGGTTTACTCCACCCTCAATGAAGCTTGCCCTCCTGGCTACAGCTACTTGGAGAAAGCCCGCAGCACTGGTCGTGGTGGAGGCCTAGCTGTCATCTACCGAAAGGAATTGGAACTGTCACTAGTGCCCCTGCCTGTATTGTCCTCTTTTGAATGCCTTGCATTTAAATGTAAACCCCCCTTCGCCCTGACAATACTTCTGATCTACCGGCCACCCAAACCCAACTCAGCTTTCATCCCAGAGATACAAGACCTTCTCACTACGCTATGCACAACCTCTGCCAATATTATCATACTTGGAGATTTTAATATTCACGTCGACTCCCCCTCATGCCACTTTGCCACTGAGTTTCTGCTACTTCTGGACTGCCTCAATCTGACACAGCATGTTAATGTGTCCACACATGCCCTCAGACACTGTTTCCTGCAAGATGTTGCGGCAGTGCCCCGGTACTGGGGTCTCTCGGGTTTAACAGGTTAAATAAGTAAAATACTAAATACTAAAAAAATAATTATAATAATATAAAAGATAATAATAAATATATAATAAAAATAAACATAATTAAATTAAATATGTTGTTCACAGTACGTACCCTCGGCCATACCTTATTACGGCTTTCCCCATTGTGCCATGAAGAGAGGCAGAACCAGTAACATAGCGCATTTAAAGATCTGCTGTTAAGAGGAACTCATGTTGGAACTGAGTCCAGTTTGATTCTCTGAAATATTGTTTCATCTCTTTTATTGTGTGTCTTCGACCTCTCTCTATCCTATGTTGTTCAAAGCATTCCAGAATGGATAACATTGTATCTGTCTCGGAAATATTGTTACAGAAATGTTTTGTTTCCGTGTCTTAATCTCAGTTTTATCTTCTGTCCTCTCCAGACTCTGTCAGGCTGGTGGGGGGGACCAGTCTGTGCTCAGGTAGACTGGAGGTGAAGTCTAACCAGTCTAACCCGTCCTGGTCCTCAGTGTGTGAGGCTGACTTTGACCAGCAGGATGCTCAGGTGGTCTGCAGGCAGCTGGGCTGTGGGGCTCCTTCAGTCCTCCAGGGGGCGCTCTATGGAGAAGGGGAGTCTCCAATGTGGACAAAAGAGTTCCAGTGTGGAGGCCATGAGTCTGCTCTCCTGGACTGTAGCTCAGCCTCAGAGAGAAACACCTGCTCATCTGGCAGAGCTGTTGGCCTCACCTGCTCAGGTAGAGAGGAGCTGTGATTGGTTCATTCTGTTCTCATCAAACTCACTTTATTCTTTCTCCGATCACTCTCTTGTTTCTCTTCAGAGCCGGTCAGACTGGTGGGAGGAGAGAGTCGCTGTGCAGGAGACCTGGAGGTGAAACAAGGAGAATGGAGACCAGTGAAGGGCTCTAACTCTCTCTGGACCCTGGAGACAGCAGATGTTGTCTGCAGAGATCTGGACTGTGGCTCTGCTGTTTCTGTGGGAGAGAGAAAGGAGTCCTCAAAGAGATCTGTGTGGAGGATCAGACCTGCCTGTGTTCAGTCTGGATCTGCTCTGAGGGAGTGTGCATTATCAGTTTCCTCTTCCCACTTCCTGACTGTCACCTGTTCAGGTAAGCTCCTTTGACTTTTTTCTCAGAACTTAACTTTTTCCCAAAATGTTTGACTTTTCCTCCAAATTTGACTTTTCCTCGAAATTTGAATGATTTCTCAACATTTGACTTTTTTCTCAAATTTTGATTTTTAAATAAATAAGAAAATAGAAAAAAAAGTTATAAATTAAAGTATAAAATACAATAAAGTAAAACAGTAACTGTTTCTTTACCTCAGTTGTATCTTCTGTCCTCTCCAGACTCTGTCAGGCTGGTGAATGGGACCAGTCTGTGCTCAGGTAGACTGGAGGTGAAGTCTAACCAGTCTAACCAGTCTAACCCGTCCTGGTCCTCAGTGTGTGAGGCTGACTTTGACCAGCAGGATGCTCAGGTGGTCTGCAGGCAGCTGGGCTGTGGGGCTCCTTCAGTCCTCCAGGGGGCGCTCTATGGAGAAGGGGAGGCTCCAATGTGGACCAAAGAGTTCCAGTGTGGAGGCCATGAGTCTGCTCTCCTGGACTGTAGCTCAGCCTCAGAGAGAAACACCTGCTCACCTGGCAGAGCTGTTGGCCTCACCTGCTCAGGTAGAAGATTCAAAGATTAAAAGTTTTAATTATCATATGCACATAAGCTACAGTGTAGAATTGGCAAGGAAATTCTCCTGACCTGAGCTCCTCCACCAATGCAACATATATAACAAAATTCAAAAATAAAAAATAGTTCAAGAAGTCTCTATACATGTAAATCTAATATAAATTAGAGGAGCTGCAGCTGTTGTGCTGGAAACTTCTGAAGCAATGGAGACAAAGCTCAGAGAGACACGGGGAGAGCTGGAACTCTGATGGCAAACACTGAGGGTTTATTATGGAGTTACGGCCGGAGAATTTGACAAGACGTGCTCCCGCCACGAGGTGACACAGCTTCTGCCAAACAAATTCTGAAGATCTCTACCCCAGAGCCCTGTATTCAGCTAGTTCTGAGAGAATAATCAACATTGTTCATACAGATGAAGCGTCTTATTTTGGACAGTTTAAAGTGCGAGGGTCGTGATCGGTTCGTGCACGTTCCGTGATGGCCGGCCGGCCCCCAGTCAGACTTGATACCGCCCCCATGATAAATACATTTAATTATTGTGAAGCCAGCTGCAATGGATCATTGATCCACCAGGGGGTGCAGTGGGGTTCCACACTGGAGTCATGTGAAATCAACTTCTTTGTTGTTAATAATGTTGTTTAGTCGGAAAAAACGAACGAGCCGGCTCTCCCGATTTTTAATCCTAATTTAATCATCATCATTGATGTTTATGTTCGCCGAATTGACATGAAATCACTGACAAATATGAATATTCTGTATTCAACTTCATTGAAACGATCAGGATGGGTGTTATTTTTCCCCACAATGACCAAGTCGCTGCAAATGATCCCATGTATTACATGTACATGGCCACATTCTCAACAAAGTTACGTAACGAAACATTCTGTATTCCTTGCTTACTTTTTATTTAATGCTTTATAACAGCTGGAATAGTTCGTTTAGAACAGGCACCTCACTCGCAATCTGCTCCTCCGCAACGCCTACCACCTACCTCCGGCTGAAATTATGAATGTATAGTAATCATAGATAACACGGCAGGGTCCGTTAGTTTGTTTTCATCTGATTTCAAATATTTCAAATGTCTGAAGTTAATAAATACATTCTCAGTGTTCAAGTCAATAATAGTCATATAAGAAAAGTACTGATCTAATAACAGAGATTTTATAAGGACTTTTCAATGTTCGACATCGCTCATGTGAAATACAGTAAACTGGATGTTGTGGTGCCGAGAGGCGGGGTATCAAAAGTACAAGCTAAACTTTTATTTAGCATCTGAACACACTTGTAAACAACGTGATGCCCGGGAAGCGAAGACCCGGCGGAAACAGCTGGTCTGGTTCACTAAAATGTCCGTGTACAGTATATCTGGTACTAATGTATAGCGGATCTTTGTTAACATCCATATGTCACGGATAGGATCATAGTCTGTGCTAAATAAGACATGTAATAATTTACAAAACATCACCATGTTGTTATGCGCATGTGCGAGATGTCACGTTGTAATAACAATAACTCATCTCTCTCGGTTTTTTTTGTTTTCTTTGTGTGCTTTGCCAAAAGCCACTGTGTCAAGTGTCCTAGTTGGGTTGCCGTAACGAACAGCAGCCGGCTCTCGATTTTTAATCCTAATTTAATCGTTTATGTTCGCCGAATTGACATGAAATCACTGACAAATATGAATATACTGTATTCAACTTCATTAAAATGTTATTAACGTGCCTAAACTCAGTAATTCTCAGTAATTCACTAAAAATTACTTAAATTGATGGGGAAAAATAACACCCAGGGATCAAGATCCCTCCGCGACGCGACGCGGAGGGATCTTGATCCCTGGGTGTTATTTTTCCCCATAATGACCAAGTCGCTGCAAATTATCCCGCTTATTACATGGCCACAAAGTAACGACATGACTCCCAATATTAATTAAAATGCTTTTATGGATTTAGAAAATATTTTTATTGATTTAAAAAATAGTTGTATGTATTGATTTAAATTTACATGCATCCGCTAAGAAAAATAGTCCGTTGTTACCGTTTTTTTAAACAGTCAGAATGAAACGGCAGCTCTCAGCTGTGTGTTCACACTCCTAATGGCCCATCACAGCTCTCTCCCCCCCTAATCTTTCTTTTCCAACAGTTAAGTTAACTGTAGGTTACTCTGAGTGACAAGCTTACAGTTAGTGAAGTAACACTTTTTTTTTGTGAGTCACGACCTCGCTGTTTCATTCTAACATAACGCTCCAAATATGACTGTTTCCACTCGGACTTCAATACAGCAACACCATTGTTTGTTTCCATGGTAGCGTGTCTCTTTAGTAGCATGCACTCCTTTCCTGTAAATTACAGGTCCAGCCAGGCAAAACAGTAATATGAAATATGAACGTTAGTTTTTAACTGAAATGATCAAATAAAGTTAAAATGTCACAGTGTTTACAAACATTGACCATACCGTTCACCAGCCCCCACCCCACTATGTTGAGTATAGCCTACTCTTTGTTTAAAACGAATTGGCCATCGGAATGTGTGTGTCCCAACCCCACCCCCTGTGATATCTCTTCTCCAGCAGTCTGTAGTTTGTCCGTAAACTTTAGAATGAAATGTAATACCGGTTAGTTGTTTGTGTTCATACTGACAGAAGAAGAAATAAATTAAGTATGAATGAGAATAAGGCACAATGTCCATAATGCATCTTGTGACATGCGCACTGAAGAGACTTGCAATTATTTGAAATTATTTGCCCTAAACTTCTGCTCTCAGACATAGTTAATTATTAAGTTATTACTTTATCCGATAATAATCCAATGCAGAGGCAATAATGTTATATAAAACATTATTTATATATAGTCTTAAAGTTACAACCGGCCCTTTGAGTGCAACCTTAATGCTGATGTGGCCCGCGATGAAATTGAGTTTGACACCCCCTGCTCTAGGTAAGGGAAATGTGAACATGGAGGTGTAAAGATGCGGTTGCAGGTCAACACAAGACAACACATTAACTATTTAAATGGTCATAAGACATACACTGAGCACTTCCTTGGCATCAAGGTAATCACTAGAGAGATTCTCACTTGAGGAATCTTAACCTGAGCCACAATAAATTGTCTATAAATAGATTCCCAACATCTCAGTTGTATTAAAAATGAATAAGGCCATCTTCACGAAAAGTTCAAAAGGGGGAGGGGGGAGAGAGTTAGACGCTCGTGAATCTTACTGAGAACGTTATGTTTCCTCTGACTGCTTATGCCAAAAGCAACGACAAATTATCTGTTTTAAATACCTTTTTAGACCGTAAACTTTAGAATGAAATGTAATACCGGTTAGTTTTTTGTGTTCATACTGACAGAAGAAGAAATAAATTAAGTATGAATGAGAATAAGACTTATGTAATGTATTGACATTTGATCAGTAGCCTATAAATGTATTACTAACTTTATCCACTGTGGTACCGAAGCTTGGATCACCGCCAAAGACATGGCCGAGGGCAGCTGGCAGCTTTCAATATTTTTCATGTGCGATTCTAACGCTTTCAGAAAGTGAAACATACAGCATCATTTGAGAAAAATAAATCAAAATAAGCGTTATAAATGAACCCTGACTACTTGTGTTTAGGACTCACTGTATTTTGCTACTCTCTAGGTCTGTGGGCCAAATCCAGATATGGGGGGGGGGGGGGGTTCTGTTAGAAGGTGCGACGGGGGAGGGGGGAGAGAGCCTATGGGCTTAGCCCCGGACAGGTACAACAGGTATTCACTCAGAGGGGGGTAGTTACCATTTACATGTCAAAAAGCAACAAACAGTGGGCGGGTGGGGGATGGTGAACGTTTACATTTATTTACGTTTACATTTATCTACAGAATACTATCTACTATCTACATTTATCTACAGAATACTATCTACTATCTACATTTATCTACAGAATACTATTTAGTTTATTAAGAAATACATATTTGTAGCTTTTTTTTTATCTGCAGTAGGAAATGCAGAGAGTAGCGACAGGGCTGGTCCAACCTGATCTGTAAAGTGATCTAACTAAGTGCTATTGAATGGGGGGCTTATATGCATTTGAAAAGCAATATAAATCACACAGTTCGTATACAATAGGCATTAAAAGCACCATCGATAACCATTGCCCTTCTCCTATTCAAACCAAAAGAGAAAATGCAGATATTACACTCTGAAAAGAAAGGGTAGACATATCTGTACTCTTAGTGCCAAGTAGCTAAGCTATTCATTCGCAGAAATGTAAAGTGGTCTATCTAAGTTCTATTCATATTCTTGACGGAAAGAGTTAGTATACAATAGAGTTAGAGTTAGTATACTTTAAAAGCCTTCTCCAAATCAAACCAAGATATCTTGGGTATTCACTCAGAGGGGGGTCGGTGAACCGGGCAGAGTTTTTCGCCGGTCAACGTGTGTGAAAGTTTAAAGTTCAATCTTCCTTATTGAGCTTTATAACAAATGAATAACGACTATATATTATAATAAAACTATATATTGAGCTTTAAAACAAATGATATATATTATAATAAAATAAACACCGGCTGTTGTTATGCCTGCTGTAACGTTTACTTTCTCCGTTCTCCGCTTAAGTAATTATTACTTCCTGGTTAGCTTTCCGCTCGAAATTTAAATCTGAAAATGGCAAAATAACGGAGAAAAAAAACGTTCACAGAGAAGACGACAACAATTGTCACTTGCACAAAGCAAGGTTATACAAAAAACAAATGACCCCGAACATGAAATACCTTCACGGAGTGCGTCGATGCGCAAGCTATCATCCAGATAACAGGAGGGTTTAGCTAGCGTCACCCTGCAATCTTTAAAGGTCGTTTTCTCAAAATGAGTTTTTTCTCCTACTCTGAGTTCGAAATGTCCACTTCAGTAGCAGACTGATTCTATAATTTAGGGTGCATTTCACATCAACAAAACAGTACAAAGAAAGTGTTCTTTCTCAATAGAACAATCAGTGGTTCAAGTTAGTATATTCCTCA